AACAAGCTTGGAAATGAAAAACTTACACATGAGAGTCTAATTTCCATCAGTCAAAGTGCTACTGTAAATGGTTATTTTTTTATCTTGGATCAAATTTCCAATCTTTAAGTATAAAGACTCCTTTTTCACGATAAAATATTTCATACATCCTCCCACTCTTCCTTTTTGTATATGTTAAGAAATACATCGTAACTAATGGCTGCTAAGAATTAACATTTAAATAAAATTGCATCATATCCATCACAATAGCATCTCTTATGTCTTCCAAATGAACATACACATCAAGTGTATTATTTCGTCTACACACAAGCTGGGCATATACTAAAACCTTTCAACAGCTTACCAAAATCTTGAGCATGGCCACAAATCCTTGTGTAGTCTAGCCCCTGCCCAGTTTTTCAAACCTCATCTCCTGCCTCGCACTCTCCCTCACTCTGAATCCTAGCCTCTGTAGCCTTCTAGCAGTTTCTTAAAAATTCTAAGCTCCTCCAAAGCAAGGACTTTGTACCTGCTTTTCTCATTGTCTGAAATGTGCTTCTCTCTATCAGCTCCACCTGGTGCCTAGTTAGTTCTCAGAGATCAAGTATCATTTCCTCAGGGAAGCCTTACCTAATCTCTCTGCTCTGTATCCTCACAGCCACATTTAACTTTAATTCATAGCAAGAGCTATAAAATTTTGATCAAGTCACTTAACCTTACTATGCCTATAATATAGGCATAAGGGTACCTTGTGAGATACAAGGTTATTGTATGGATTATATAACATGTAATGTGCTGAATCCTATGGCTGGCAAATAGTAAGCACTCAATTAAGAGTAGTTTAAAAAAACTATCCATAGAAAAAAGTCCCTAGAAAGGTGTTTTTCTCTCAACTGTACAAGAGAGAAGAGAAAGAGGAAAGAACAGGGAAGGATAGAGATTTTTAGATCTGGTAGCAGCAAGATGAGGTAGTTTCTACCTGCTGACATCAGTTTTCCCTGTGAAATGGGGGGTGAGGTCTTCTGGTGAATGAATGAGGAGGGTCTGTCCTGGGTGTGGGATGGGGATGGGGGTAAGAAGTTAGTGGCTGGAAACCTGAAGATAATGGAGAAAGAACCATTTTAGAGAACAAGAGAACAGGAGAACTTCCGGGGCTGTTGACACTGAATTTATAGCATTATCAATCTGAGAGACTATAGATATTTTTCCAAAGGTATTGAGAAGCCCAGATGCAGGCACAGAAAAGAGAGAATCAGGGATTCAGAAATGGTTGGCGTTTGCTAGGCAGGCATGATGAAAGGACAAGGAACAGGGGCATTCGAGGTCTTGACTGGGAAGTGACTGAAATAATGGACCATGGATTCTGGGCTGGAGAGAAAAGAGTGAAGACAGAATGAGTGAGTAAGTAGGTTAACTAAGTAAATAAATCTAAACACAGGGAGAAAAGCAGAATGGTCAATGGCCTAAGAGTCTCAATTAGGTTGAAGAACAAATACAGTGGGAGTAACTAGGCAAGCAACATTAAGAATCGAAGACTGGACTCAGAGAGGGATGTCTCAAGTTCTCAGTAACTTCAGAGGCCCTGCAATTTTTGGTGATAAGGTACAAGGTGTGACAGTGGGAAAGGCTGCTGAAGTAGAGTGGAAGACGTCATCAGAGATGAAGAAATCAAGAAGCTGAGAAGCCCAGGGTTTGGAGATTTTTCCTCACAGAAACTGAAGTCACCTAAAACAGCGGCAGGACTTGGCATATAGAGATGGGTTATGAGCTGTGTGCCAAGGTCTTCAATGGCCAAGGAGGGGTGTCTGTGAGGGCTGCAGCCAATGATATCATGGAAGGGATTTGAAGTGAATGAACAGAAAAATCGGTTCTGAAATCTTACGAAGCCCTTCTTGTTATAATCTTTACTCTCATTTCTTTCCAGGATTTAGGTGGCTCTAATTTCTAACACTTACTTTCCAAATCACAGATGGACTGCCAAGGATCTTCCATTTTGCTCCAGGATTTTTTCCCTGAGCAGTAAAGATTTCAACAAATGCACCTCCCTAGGGAAAAAAAATATTAAAAATTAAAGTGAAAGACAATGCTAAGGAGGAAATACTATCCACCACATAGTCTATACCCATTGTTCCAGGCATCTGTAAGTTAAGTAGATTTGAGAGGAAACATTATCCCTCTTATCACTCCTACTTTATATCTTGATTGTATCTAAGCAACAACTGTTCTGATTCAGGTCACCTTGGATTAATGGTTTAAGAAATGTTTTTAAAAGCATGATAAACATTAAATAAACTCCATGCCATACAAACCTTACAGTCTCTCAGTGTAAGGTTCAGTTACTTCACATGTATAGTTCATGCTTATAAAATATTCTATTCAACACACACTAATGGGTTTAAACTCAACTCTCAAGCCAGGCTAATAAAATCTGATAGTTATCTCTGGCTACAAGCTTTTTAGTTACACTAACCTGAGCACCAATACCAGGTTTGCCATTTATTAACTATCTGACTTTGGAGTTACTTAACCTCTTGATTTTCTATCTGTAAAATGGGTTGTTCGATTACATAGGATAGTAAACATAAACCATCACACACAATAAAGCCTGCTGCACAAAGCAAGGGCTCATTAGTACCAGCAATGATTATTGAAAAAAAGGGCAAACTGGATAGTTTAGTACTGGGTCAATAAAAGAAGCCTGGACTTGGAGAGGGAGTGATTCTTATTTTGATGATTCCTATAAGATCTTTTTATATATTTAATACAAATTAATTTGGTGATCTATAAAATATGTACCAAAAAAATAGGGAATCATTTCCATAGGCATGCTAAGTGTTCCCTATTGTAAACCTGGGAACGTGGAGGGACATGCTCAGGTAAAAACACTAAACACATTACTGAGTGTCCATATGCTTTAATTATAAGAGAGGAATTAAAGATGATTGTCTCTAAGGAAGAGTTTATTGCAAGAAACTGAAAACCTGAAATGAGAGTAAATATGGTTTTCTTTTATGGCCTGTTAAATAATAAGCAGCACATGAGCAAATCTGTGTGACTTTCATAAAGAATTTCCTGCTTTTAATTTTTCCAAATAATATAAAGATATTTTTGCTTCTGAGTTTTAACAAGTAATCACTTGAAGTTAAGACATTTACCGTCTTCTGTAGACAGTACTATGTGCAAACTGTGTGTGGAATTGAATTACTATAGCTTCTGGGGTCAGGTCATATTTCACTATGAATTTTAAATGTGAGGAAGCTTTTTCTTTTTTTTTTTTAAAGAGAAAAATTCTTATACCTGGTGAGATAGAAAAATACCTCCCCCGCCCCCATTTCTGCTATCACCTGTTTCCCACAGTAGACACCTGCTTTTTTATAACAATATATTTTACCTATATTAAGCAAGAGAAACTCTCTAAAATTGTTCCAACAGATTTAATGACATCAAACGGAATAGAAGAAAGAGAACTGCAGAATACCCTGAGGGCACTCATAAGAAGGCAGGTAGTATTTGATGAAAAGGTAGAAGCAATGAAGAGGTGACCAGTGGAGGACTGCTCCGGCACAGGGACGAAATTGTTCGTAACAGCAGTACTAGGACAGCAGACAGACTGTAAATGGAGAGTGTAACCTCAGGTAGAGGTAGGAGGGGAGGGGAGAAGACTAGGGTCAAGGAAGATCAGGGAGGTGCCCAGTGAAGTGAGGAAAGCAGGAGCGCTTTGGAGACCCTCTAGGATACTCAAAGTGACTGAGGAAGACCCAGAAGCAGTTTCCCTCAGTGTGGTATTTAGACCACCTGCATCAGAATCAAATGGAGAAAGGTGCTATAAAGGTAATTTAACTAGCCCCATCAACAGAGATTCTGATTCACTCTATTTGACGTGAGGCTCAGGAAATCCGTATTTTTACAAGTACTTGTATTTTTACAAGTACTCCAAATGATCTTAATGTACCACAGCCTTTGAGAATCACTGACCCGCCCCCAATTTGGGGGGAAAAGAAAACAGCACACGGCCAAAGTGCTTATTTTCTTTCTTGGCTTAACCCATTCATGCATTCACTCTCTGCTAAATAGCTTCTGTGCCTAAATAGCAGTGTGCCTCAGTACTGTTAAAACTCAAGGTTTATAGGTCCTGCCCTTAAGGTTCTGATTCCGGAGCTCTGGTTGGGGTTTAAGGCTGCAGTTCAGTCAGAAACACAGGGAATCCCTACACCTTGAGAAGCACGGAGCTGGAGAGGGAACGTCAAATCATATGCCCACACGGCAGCTGCTTTCTTTTCTTTCTCTTTTTGGGTCAAGACCACTTATCCATTAGTTCCTTCTTACCCCGAGAAAGACAGTATTACTTGGGGGGGGGGTTCCTCTTCACCCGGACGTGAGCTATCTCACCGAACAGTACAAAGCTAGACCGGTTGGAGAGCCGTTTCCGGTTACCTGGTACTCATTTTTGAACATTCCCGCCGGGGGCCCGGGGCTTGAGGGGCACCGGAATTCAGGGCTTCCAGAGAGTAGCGTGACCCTGACGGCTGGAAATCGGCGGGCGGGAAGCCAGGGCCCGACGGGCGGGGAAGGGCTTCGTGGTCGGCCCCAACTCGGCCAGGTTCTTCTCCGCCCTTTGTCAGCTCCACCTCGGGCCCCCGACCCGAACCATCGCGGCCCCGCCTCCGGGACGCCGGAGTCTGGGAGGGGACAGCTGCCTGGGCGGGCTCCGGGCGGCCCCAGGGGACTGAGCGTGTGCGTAACCTACGTGACAGAGAGCCCAGACGCTGAACCTCCGACAACCGCCCGCCTGCTCACCGGAGAAAGGCTGGCGCGTTCTCGCCGCCGCCCAACCCCGCCCCCGAATCCGCTCGGAAGAGGGCCGAGCGGGTCGTACGTTCCGACCGCGCCCATTGGCTTCCACGAGGCGCCTGCGCGTGGCGCTGGCCGAGCTTCACGCCGACGGACACGTGAGATTACGCAGTGACGTAGGCGTTGCCCAGGCAACTGACCGTCTTTCGCTCAAAGGGCGGGACGCCGAACCTGTGACCAGGGCCCGCACTAAGTCGTGACCCGTGTCTGCAAAAAAGCCTAAACTTAACCTGGCTTAAGAGCTACCACAGGTGCTGGATTCTTCTAGGAAATCTGTCACGTCGGCTTGGTCTCTCTTCGTTGTAAACACTGATAACTGGTAGGTTGCTGAAGGAAATGGAGTCGTGGAATCATGGAACCCTCATGGAACCTTTCGCTCAAGGTTCCCAAACTTGGCTTCGTTGAGGCACTGATAGGGTCCGCCATCTCCTTTCACTGTTTCAGAAGGCCCAAGGAAGGTCACTGCACGCTTCAAAAAGCCAAGGTTTTTGCCCAAAGTAATAACTACATACGTTATTGAGCCAGGCGCTCTCTTAAGTTTAACTGGTTCTGTGTCTGAACCACTCTTACAATGTAGGTATTATCGTCCGTTTTTGGTTAAGAAACTGTGGCTCCGAAAGGTAAAATATTTTGCCTAAGGTCGCATGGCCAGTAAGTGATGGAGCTGGTTTGGAGCTCGTACCTAACTCAAAGCTGAGTTAGGTCAGTGGCTCAGGGTTAATCAGTAGTCAGGTACCACTCCTGGAGCCCCTGCTATAGGCCAAGTGGTTCACAACCCTGTGAAGTAAGGGTTAGTCTCCTTTCAGTTGAGATCACTGAGGTTCTGAGTTGATTAGGAATTTACTCAAGGATGCAGTGTTGATTTTTAGTTGTGGCACCATGGATCATGTACAGGATGAGAAAATGAATGCTTTCTGGACCTGCTTCTTGTCAGGGCTAAGAAGGAAAGATAAGGAATAAATTTACTTGAATACACTAATACTGGATGTGTACAAGATAGAGGTGGGGCTGTCACATAGCTGTAAATTGCAGTACAATATCTAGAATTCAGACTTGGTTTCTAGAGCTCAAACCTTGTTCAACAACAGTTTTTGGCAGGACTCTGCTGGGGGCTTTGGGAATTATGGTCAGTAGACATGGTGTCTATCTTATTATCTAATGGGGGACATTTATCCATCCATTCATTTAAGAGATAACTCTTAGGAATGCAGTATATTCCAGACACTATACTAAGAGCTAGGTGTATAGGGAAGGGCCCCCATCTTCGTGTAGCTTGCATATTCACGGGGCAAGGCACAATAAAGAAGTGAACAAACAAATAATTACAACTTGTGATAAATGCCATGGATCCAGTGGTAGGAATTAACATTGGAGGGTATATTAGTTTCCCGTGGCTGCTGTAACAAATTGTCACAAGCTGGGTGGCTTAAAACAACACAGATTTATTCTCTCACAGTTCTGGAGGCTGGAAATCCAAAATCAAGGTGTCAGCAGGGTAGCACCCCCTTTGGAGGGTTTGTAGGAGAATCTGACCTTTGCCTCTTCCATCTCTGGTGGCTATTGGTGTCCCTTGACTTGTGGCTGCATCTCTTCAATCTCTGCCTCCATAGTCACAGTGCCTCTTCCTCTTCTGTGTGTGTCTTTTCCTCTGTGTGTCTCTTAAAAGGACAGTTGTGATGGCATTTAGGGCCCACTTGGATAATTCAGGGTAATCTCCGTATTTCAACATCCTTAATTACATTGCAAAGACCTTTTTTGCCAAATAAGGAAGCATTCACATGTTCCAGGGGGTAGATGTAGATATCTTTTGGGGGGGGCAGGCATAGCATTTTTGGATGATTCAAGTCAACACAAAGGATGACTTGCACTATAATATAAAGTAGTCTTTCATAAATACTATAAGAGCGGAAAAAAGTACAGTGAGAGTACAGGAGGAATCTAGGGAACATCCTAAGACTTTTAACAATATACTTGAGTCTCTGAACATATTTTGACACCACGGATGAAGAGAAACCCTGAACCTTTGTCCTATGCTATTTTCTTTCTACCCCTCATCATTATATGAATTTATTTATTTATTTGTTTATCATCTATCTTCACCTGTTAGAAGGTAAATTCTATGAAGGCGAGGACTTCTGTGTTCATCATTATTTCCCATATCCTAGAGTAATGCTTGGCACATAGTAGATATTTTATAAACACATATTTGTTGATCAGATTAAAGGCACCTGTCCTTTTGAACTCACCGTGTCCAAAACAAAACTTCTCCAAACATGCGCCTTTCCTATCTTTCCCAATCTCACTAATATCACAGTGCCTCCTGCTTCCTCACTAGCTGCAATGGGCAGCCTCTAAAATGGCCCCCAATGATCTCCATCTTCTGGTAGGCATGCCCTTTGTGTAATCTTCTCCCCTTGGGTATGGACTGAACCTAGTGACTCACTTCTTATGAATACAATATGGCAAAAGTTCCGAGATGTTATTTCCATGATAAGGTTACAAAACGACTCTGATTTCCTTCTTGCTTGCCTTCTTTCACTCTGATATCCTTGCTTGCTCTGGTTTTCCCCCCTCCCATCCCCCAGCTTCCCCAGTCCTCACTCTGAAGGAAGCAAGTTGCTGTGTTAGCCCCTTGGAGAGGTGCAGGTAGTAAGGAACTGATGTCTCTGGCCAACAGTCAGTGAGGACTTGAGATTTGTCAACAGCCACATGAGTGGGCTTGGAAGTGACTCCTCCTCTGGTTGCACCTCGGGGTGACTGCATCCCTAGTGGACACCTTGATTGCAGCATAGTGAGCCTGGGTCAGAGGCACGCAGCTAAGTCATACCCTGATTCCTGACGCACAGAAGTTATGAGACAATTATTGTAAATTGCTAAGATTTAGGGTAATTTTTTACACAGCAGTGTATCTACTGCTAATATACTCCTCATACTCAGTCCACTACCCAAACCTATTCATTTTATCTAAATAATTTGAAAGTCTATTTACCTTCCCTCCACTGTTATCTCTACTCTGATTTACCTGTAATCTTCTCTGAACTACTATAATATCCTCCTAATTTACACACCATGTCAGCCACCTTTCAAATCTATCTCCACGTTTCAGTCAGTCATCTTTATAAAACACAAATTCAATCATATCGGTCCCCTGATTCTAACCCTTTTGTGACTATAGAGCCTGTCTTCCTCTCCAGTTTCTTTGTACATTATGTGGCCCCCTTCATTTTAGTAACACTGAGTTTTCTCATAGTTCTTCACGTATAACATGTTTGCTTCCACCGTAAGGCCTTTGTACTGATCTCTTGCATGGATTACTTCTGCTCCCTTCTTTCTTTGGTTAAGACCTACTTATCCTATAGAGTTTACATCAAGGGTCCCTTTCTAAGGGACTCCTCTGATATCCCTGACTAGATCAAATCCCCGGTTTATATGTTCTCATAGCATCTTAGCTCTTAGTATTATTGAAATCATTGTTGAAATTTTATATGTCTATAATATTGGCCATCTCTAATGGACTGTAGATTTCAAGAGAGCAGGGACATGTCTGTTTTGTTTACCCTTGAATCCCTAGTGCTTGGTATACTACTTCAACTGTGTACCTGGCATAACAAAATAGTAATTGAATGAATGAGTGCATGAAAGTGGGAGGAGGTGAAAGATGAATATATTCTTAAAAGACAGCCATAGGTTTTGGTGTTGAGAAAACAAGGAAAAAGCAATTGAAAACATATTAATAACCTCAATTTATTGATAGAAAAACTAGTTACAGAGTTGAAGTGATTAACCACAGTGTATCAGTAAGTCTTATTACTCAGGTGTTTTGTTTTAAAAATGACCTATTTATTCAATTTAATGCTGGAAAGAACCAGTAAAATTTACTTCAGTCTCCTTAATTCCTTGAGAGAAAGGATTGTCCAAGGCCCAGTTGTCCAAGGGTTGGGTCATCTCCTAATCCTCCTAACTCATAACAAGTTCAGGAGACTTACAGTTGGATTTTCATTAGCAAGTGTGGTATCGGGCCTGTCCAGGCATAGGACAACTCTGAAGGCAGCCCAACTTAGATCAAAGGTGTTTTGTCTATGGCGAGAACTACCCTTAACACTGACCGTGGTGGCTATAAAGCAGAAATAAGCATGTGCCCTACTTTAACAATATGAACTCAAAAGCAGAGGTAGGAAGAGATTTGATTTTATAATACCAAATAGTCTTGTTTGATGTGGGTGAATGCAAGCTGTGACCAAAAACTTGGATTTGGCTATGTCTTCAAGAATGGCTACTAGAATTCAGCACCACCCACTCACCCCCACTCTGAAACCCCAAAAAAAGCTAGCCTGCTCAAACAACTTTGCTTAAGCCAAGTTTTTTATGTACATTATAAATGGCAGTGAAACAGTTTCTCTAATTGCTACAATTTTTAAAGAAGCTGGTACAATTAGTAATTGCATTAAATTGCTTAACTTAATTTGGCAACATTAAGACTTAGTCACTTTATAAGCTTTAAAGTGCTTGTCTTTGTTCTACAAAGAAAGTTATTCGGCGGTGTATTAATATTATTAAAGGATATTGGATAGTATTTAAAATGGAATAGACTAGAAACAGTTTTAAAGGGTGACAGAGTCTTTGTATGACAATGTAGTCATTCAAGTTAGATAATATGGTTATTAATTTGACAAGAAATAGTGTTCTTTTGAACTAAGAATGTACAGTATTTACCTTAATATATTTGAAGTTTATATTTTGGTTGCAGTTCATAATCTAATTATTTGGCATAATGGGAAGAAAAAAGATATGGTTTGATGATCAGAATTTTTTTGCTACACAATAATCTAGAAATGTTTAATACTTGGGGAGTTATTTTATTCCACATTATGAACTAACTTCATGAATGACATTAATGCCAAGTTGATAGAATAATTTAAAAACGGTGCCTAGTTTGTAGTTTCAAGCAGGTGAGAAAAATTAGTGATACCTGAGTCATCTGTTTGACCTTTGATTTGAGAGTAGTGATATCATTTTTTAGGAAGGTGCGGTGTGGGGAAAGTTTCTGAGGGCTTTACTGTTTCTAGGTTTTCTCCTTAAATGTTTTTTCTTTTTGTTTTTTTTCTTTCTGGTCTATGAGACTCTACAGTGACTGTTTCCTGCCTGTACCTTTAGATAACCAAAATTCATGCATAAACTCGAAATTTCCAAAACAAATTACTACCTGAAGATTTTCTCAGGAAAAAAAAAACCTATTCCAGTAGTTGAATATTTCCCTATGTATTCCCTGTGAATACTTCCCTAAATAAATCAATTTTATATAGCAAGCACTTAAGTTTC